TATTTCATGTAAACAGGATCAGATAGCATCTTTTTACGCAGAATTGATACCTAAAATATGTCCGCTACCACCGCTACTTTATTACAAGAGTATCCTACTAATCCAGCGACAATAATTTAAAATAATAATCATTTAAAAAAGATAATATAGATAATATAATAATGTTGTGTAGTCTTTAATACTGTAGACACAGCCAGTTTTACTCACTATTTGTCATATTCGTCATAAAATAATTACTTCATAATTGTATTAGAGTCTTACACACATGCTATACAGATAATGTAGAGTCGTACATTAATTTGAGTGGTGACAGCTATTATGGGAGTGGCTTGATGGAGCACAGGAGATGCAGATAACATGATCTTGACCATAGATCTTAATTTGCGGAGATGCAGATGCAGATAACATGATCTTGACCCTTAAGAAACTTTAATTAATGCTGTCACGTAACAAATCTGTTCAAATATAAAATTAAATGAATTGCTAATTACTACATTGAAATAAAAGCCTGTAGCCTGTACAAATATTAGAAATCGTGAATATAAATAATTGGGAATCATGTAAAAATTTTTAACAGCTCACAATAAAAACAGTGCACATTTCATTTATCTATTATAACATTTATGTAGTTTTGTTCACTTGGCTGTTTCCTTATAAAAGTCCAGAAATTTGTCAAGTTTTTCGTCAGGTGTCTTTGAACACGCAATTATCTCAGATAACTCAATCCAGCCATACTAATCACCAACAACAGCTGCGTTCAAAGAACCGAATTAGCCAGATCCTGACTAGCGCGATGATATCATCTTGGATGTGACATTTCATCTCGGATGTAATAAGCCGCGTACGAAGAAAGGGCCCCAGAAGACAGCCCCTGCGTCTCAATGTTCATACTATCCATCCTAAATAGTATGTGAGATTAGAATAAGTGTGTCCCAAAGAAGTGTGGATCCGTGCACACTCTAATGGCTAATATTGCCCACAATCCATTGCGCTTTGGTAAAGGATTCTGTCCAGAACTACAACGCGTCAAAAAACTACAAACATGGCGGATGTGCGCGACCGGCAGTTAGGTAGAGAGACTTAGAAAAAGGGGTTTGAGTTACTAATATTCAACATTTAACCTGGTAAAAAATATTTATTTAATGTTATCTGTGTTATATTTCATCTGCAACAGCAATGTAAACTTTTATAAACATCCGTTTGGTCGTTAACTTTTGATGCATGAAATATGAGCAGAGTTCTCGGCATGAAAGACCCGCGACTGGCAGATCAATGTGCTACTTCTTTTCTCTCCAATATGGTAGGAAGTTAAATGAAATGCAATGTGGAGGATGCTAACTGTGCCAAGATGATTGACAGGCCAGTTTACAGTGACAGGGTGCGTGTATCTATGCGACAGAGCGTCTGTTAAAGACCCACAGTTGTGTGAAGTGATAGTACGTCCCAAAGCTTGCCTACTCTTCTACTACACACTCAAAAGTGTGTACTTTTTCTTCACCAAAAGAGTACATACTTTAACGGTGTAGTATAAGTAGGCACATTGAGACGCAGCACTTGATTGGCTTGTTCGGGTGTGTTTGATTAGGATTGGCACTAAACTCTGCAGGAAAAATGTACTAAACACGGCAAATTAGCATGAGTGCAATTCCAAAAAAGCTTTTGGACATGCTTTTTTTTGGAGCGTTAAATAATGATAGTGCAAACGTTAGTAAAAAAAAAAAAAAAGGGGTCAGGCACAAAAATAACTGTCCAGGCCTTTTCAGCGCTAATTCTTCACTGCTTTAGCAAATCCTAACAGTACTATTTTAATGCCAAAAGTAAACTTAATACTGACACCTATTGAAAAAAATGCCTGCCCACTGCTCCGGGTGTGTGTTCACAGTGTGTGTTCACAGCTGTGTGGGGCCACTTTGGAAGGGTTAAATGCAGAGCACTAATTACAAGTATGGGTCACCATAAATAACTGCATCTGGTGTGTACGTGTCCTAAGAGATTAAAAGTTGTGTCTTGTCTGCATTATTGTATCAAAAGAGGCATACAAATCCCATTAAATAAACACAAAACAACTGACTTTTAAAAACATTTCTTCAGATATATTTGAAATTCAAAAAGGTGACAACGTCAGACATTTATGCACACATTCATATCAATGCAATGCAGAAAACCTTAAGTAAAAGGCCAAATATCTGACACGGTAAAGCTCAGATTCTTAGATGACACCTATGTCTGAATTTCTGAATCCCATCTACGTCTTGTGTGTGTTTTATTGGGTCTTTCCACTTGCTTCCAAACTCAGATTTGAGAGCGAGTCCTCCACCTTTGGGTCGTCTTCCTCCTCCTCATCATCGTCGTCATCATCTTCCTCCTCTTCATAATCATCATCATCATCATCAAAGTCATCGTCCTCCTCGTTATCCTCCTCATCTTTGTATCCCCCACCAGATTCCAGATTTTTCCAGTAGGAGCTATATCCAGATGCACCATATCCGTCCTCGTCGCCGCCACTCTGCCGGCCAAATTTGTGTGTTCGGGCTGCAAGAACATCAAACAAAACCATCCGGTTAGTACCAGACATCTAACTACTACTCAAAACCGGTGTTATTTATACTATACTTTACTATAGTGTATATTGTTGTACTATTATAGTTTTCATGATTTTTAA